CAGAAGAGGGGCCGGGAGCTGCAGGGAAGCTGCAGGGGGAGCTGCAGGTTCTTCCCAGCTTCCACACCCCGCCTGGATAGTCAAGATAATCTCTGGCCCTTTAGTCTCCAGTCCTCACACACAAACCATCTTTATGTACTTAATTGGCCCTTTCTAGGGCCTGTGATTTGAAACCAGGTCTTTGAAGACCCTTCATTATGGTCTTGAGATAAAGGCAGCAAGAGCAGGGGTTTACGGAGAGAAAAGCACAGATAAAAAAGCAGCAGATGAAAGGGGTGATGGACGACAGGAGGGGGACAGCAGGGGAAGGACCCACACAGGCCCAGACACGGCCTTTGGGCTTTCCCCCACCCCAGATGCCCCAAGTGGGTCACTGGCTGAACGAGAGACATGTCGCATGCCTCTCTTTTGGAGGACCATGTGATCCATTCTAAGATTTTCCCTAATGTTGAGCCACGGAAGTGCTTTCTGCAGAGTTTAGTGCCAAGTTAAAATTAGAGAAAGGAAGGTTCACTGAGGGTGGAATGAAGAGACCAGAGGGAAGAGTAAGCAGGCCTGGGACCCAATGGCCGGGGTGGCCATTGAGCTGAGCGAGGGTGTTTGTCACACCCACAGGGCGCCCGCAGAAACTAGCACCAGTGTGAGGACGCAGCAGACGCGACTACCAACTTCTTGCGCACCCTCCATTCCTCAGGCGGGCTGCCCGATGCAGGGGTCGGGCGGGAGCCGGGCGAGGAAGGTGCCCATCTGCTCTCCCCGTTCCTTAGTCGGGGCCTCCCTGCCTCTCAGGGCCCGGACGCCCAGTCCACAGCCAGGCTGGAAAAGCAGAGGGAAAGAGCTGAGCGGTGAGGGCGCCGGAGCCACGTCCCAGTCAGCAGTCAGTGTGGTGCAGGAGGGCAGGCGGTGAGCAAGAGGGCTGGGGCGGAGCTCTGGCCTGTCGGGGGGTCAGCCACGTCCATGCACCCATCACGCACCCACGGCAGGTCTGTGCTCCACCCTCAGCCCCAGCATTGGATGACCAGCTTGTGCCCCATCTCTGTCCTGCTGTGGTAAGACATGGGCACTCTTGGCCTAGAGGAGGTCTGCTGCACCCAGAGCAGGGAGCAGCTCCAAAATGGGCATTTCCCCGGGAGCTGGGGGCATCGAACATGTGACAGGACAAGCTCCTCTTCTCTCTGGTCCGAGTGGTGGTGCCGTACCAGCTTCCGTTACGTGGCATCTGTAACTCTAAATGCTTCACCAGTGCTAATCCATTCGATCCCCACACTTTTCTGTGTGGACCCAGCTCTGTCACTGTGCTTTATTTACCATGTCTGACCGTCTTCACACTGGACAATTTGACAGACTCGAGGCAAAGAACGGCCCATGTGTGGGTCTGGGAGACAATGAGGGCGTCATTCACTGCATGCATTTACTTTGTTTTGTTTTTTCACTCTAAGGTCTAGGGGTGCCTCCCGTTTGTTTTGGTGAATAAACTAGACTTTGGTTGGCTTACAATGTTGTACAAAAGTTGTTTCTCTATCTGCTTGTTGTCCTGAAATTTGAGATTCACTGAGTCAAGTAAAACAGAATTTGTGACGAGAATGTGACCCAGGAAGAGCAGAGACAGACACTGGACAGAGTGGGGACCTCTGGGCCTGGCTGATGGCTCTGGGCTGTAATAATTCTTTCAGGGATGAATACAGTGTTAAAGAAATTATCTGCCTGCACCGGATGTCCCTGCACTTTGCAATTCAATCCCTGACTTCAAATAAAAGGGGCATCTTCACGCAGCTTTGCCATTTACTCAGAGTTCCAGTCGACATCCCGGAACACAACGAAACCACAAGACAATTTAGGGCAGGAGGAGGGCGATGAAGGAGAGAAGAGGAGAGTCAACGCCATTTCCAAAGTGAGGTGCCCAGGAATCAATCTGTAATTATCTGTCCAAGCGAGTCTGAAGGCTTTTATTTAATAATGCAAGTACCACATATGCCCATAACGTGACTTATTCCAGAGAATAAAAGCCTGATTCTCTCTATGACCTATGTAGCTTTTAGTGAGGTTTCAGGCTAAATTACATCCCATACAGCCCATAAATGGGTCCCCTCTCCCCACCTCCTGCTTCTCTCAGAAAGGCAGGGTTTTCATGCCATCTGGGAAGCTTTCCGGTTCCTCTAGGTCTCAATTTCCTCCTCTGTTGACACATCTGACTCTGTCGTGTCTGACATGAAGCCTCCAAGCTGCCCAGAGTGGACGCTTGGCCTCCTTCCCACATGCCGTTTCATTAACACTGAGCAGTCAGCTTAAGTTCTAACAGGAATAAAGTCTATCTGACCCCTTCCTTCAAATTAAAATTAAAATCCGTAGTTTCCCTAAGGAAAAAAAAAAAAAAAGCAAGCTCTTTAAAAAAAAAAAAAAGTATTTATTGATTTAGGAGAGGGAGAGGGAGAGACAGAAACATCAATGATGAGAGAGTCACTGATCAGCTGCCTCCTGCAAGCCCCCTATTGGTGATTGAGCCCACAACCCGGGCATGTGCCCCGACCGGGAACAGAACCCTGATCTCCTGGTTCATGGGTCGNAGGAAAAAAAAAAAAAAAGCAAGCTCTTTAAAAAAAAAAAAAAAGTATTTATTGATTTAGGAGAGGGAGAGAGAGACAGAAACATCAATGATGAGAGAGTCACTGATCAGCTGCCTCCTGCAAGCCCCCTATTGGTGATTGAGCCCACAACCCGGGCATGTGCCCCGACCGGGAACAGAACCCTGATCTCCTGGTTCATGGGTCGATGCTCAACCTCTGAGCCACACCGGCTGGGCAAAATGCAAGCTTTTAAAGCAGTCAGGAAATCTAGTTTAATTGGAAGGGTAGGATGTAGTTCACAAGTATTTCTGGAGCCTACACAAGTACCTAAGCATCTTCAGAAGGACAGAAACATGACCCTCAAACACATGTAAATAAGGAAGACTTTGATTAGCCCCAAAGGTGGCAAAACTGTGTGAGAGGCTGGCTCTGGTGGCAGCTGATTGCCTCACAGGGTTCGTCTGGTGCTTCCTGAAAACACAGAATAGACACAGGATCCCACTGTACATTCCTTGTCAGGCCGAGACTGGGGTGCCCTAAGAGAAACTGGGATGGTCTAGGTGCGTATGGGAGGCAACCAATCAATGTTTCTTTCTCTCTCCTTTTCTCTCTAAATCAAAAAAATCAATAAAAGCATATCCTCAAGTGAGTATTTAAACAACCACCACCTTGTGCTCAGTCCAGCTTCTACCAGGAGAGCAGACGGGCTTCCACCCCCCTGTCCTTGATGACCCACCTCGTGTCCATGCTCTCCCCCCGCCCGCCTGCCTTGTAGACTTCAGGCCCCAGCGCACTGACCACAGCCTGGCAGAGACGCTCAGCGGCTCCCATTCCTGCAATGGCCAAGTCCTCTATGTAATCATGTAACTAATCACAGACATGGTTCCCTTGTGGGTCCGCTCCTGCTGAACCCCTCCTCAGAACTTATCAAGCCATTGCGCACTGTGGGAGGGAGGCACAGAGTAAGCTCCGTTTCCCACTCACTGGACCACAGACATTTTCTTTATGGAGCAACTCACAGTCTGTGGGAGCCCCGTGACCCAGAGTGAACGTGGAGGCCCGGCTGTGGCTCCTGGTCCCTCACCTCCAGGTCTGACCCTCAAGCTGGCCCTTTTATGTCCTGACCACGACACATGGCTTCCCCTGCAAGCACTTCACTCATTGCTCACCTGTGATCGCAGTCAGCCTCTCGTCCAGGCCCTGGGGGCAGGAGGAGGCCAGGCCTTACCTCAGTAACAGGCAGGCCACACACACGCTTCAATTTAAAAATTATATACATAATGCAAGTTATAAATAATAGTTATATATAATAATGTTTAAATTATTAAAATTGTAAAAATTATCTGAGCACCCCATGAAGCAAACACGTAACAGGATGCTCCTGTGAAAAGTTGTACGACAACAATTTACAAAACAGCAGTGGGGAGAGATGACTGATTTTCTCAAGGCTGATGGGGGTGGGGCGGGGGCTGGTCACCCAGGTGAGCCTCCCGCCTGCCTTCTTGCCCCCGTGAGCTCTGGGTGCCGCACCCCTTTGGAAGCACTGATGGAGGGGCGGTGGTTCCTGTGCACACAGCAGCCACCCGACCACCTTTCCCCCTCGAGGGAGCTCCTGTCCCGGAAATTCCATGACCAGGGCCACCTGCTCCCAGCCGCTTCTCTCTACAGTCACACTGGCTCATCTAGTCTGTTTCTACATCTCTCTACCGAAGATGCCCTCCGATTTCTGAGAAGCAGAGCTTGGGCTGAGCGCCCAGTGGAATGACAGCCACCAGAACGCCCTCTCGGCTCCAGCGGCACCTGCCTACCTGCTCGGGACAGCTGCTGCAAGGTGGCCCTCAGGCGCTGCTGGACCCCAGGCGACACCTCATAGCGGTAGATGTCTGTTGTGGGAACCTTCTGGCACCTTCCAAACACTCCGTCTGTAAGAAAAGGCAGGCAGAGAAGAGAAAGTGATGTCTCATTTCAGAGAGGGGGAAGCTAGTGCACACATCCCTGCAATATATCCAGTTGCGCACCACGGAGAGACTAGAAACGGCTTCAGCAAGTCATCAAAGCTGCTAGAAGTCAGGGGCACTGGGAGAGCAATGATTTACTCAGATAAAAACAGTGTGCCGAGGAAAACAAAGGCAAAACTGGAGAGGAGATGCGGGAACCCAGTGCCACATGGATTTTTTATTCTACGTTCCCATCCCTTCCACCCCAGCCCCTACCCACTCCTCACTTTTTGTAATTTCCACGCTGTGACTTTCACACTTTTGACAAAAGTCAGTAACATTCAGGGCAGGTTTTCCAGATGAGAAACAGAACACCCAGGAAGTATCATGTTAACTTGCAGAAGCCACAAGGACCGTGGACTATCTCCCATGCAGGTGCCACGTGGGAGGTGCTGGCACGAGGGTGGCCAGGCCGCCATCCAAGTGGGTGCAAGGGGACTTTCTGAGAGCGCAGCTAAGGAGCTGCTCGTGGAACAGGGTGCGTGAACAGGACAATTCGCACAGCTCCTCCCTGTTTGTCTGAAATGACAGACCCTGCTCACCAGCGTCCCTCCAAACCACACCTTCCAATTAACTGAGGCCCCAGTGAGTCTTTATTCAGGAATTGCTCACTTTGAGACAAGCTTCCTGTGGGGCTTCAAACATTCAAATGACGGCCTTTCCCCGCACACAAAAGACTAATTCAGGGCTGTGCTTCACACACGGAGCGGCCATCTGCAACTTCGGGCGGGGAAGGGGCAAATGTCTTTCATTGTACCCAAGTTTCACTGCCCAGTGTAGCTGAGGAAAGGCATTCAAATGCAACAGGTTTAATTAGCAGACACGCACTTGCCCAGTGCAGGCTGGCTGGGTGGGTAATTGCCAGTCTGATATCACACATGGGCTTGGATGATGGAGTCCCGTGATTAGCAGAGAATCATCTTAAGTGTTGCAAGCACCTCATGGATTTCTATGGCTCTTAGCAAAGTCCCGAGACTCCGGGAGGATAACCCACCAGCTGCTGGAAGCAGACGAGTGGCCACGGAGGAGTCCACCATTGGCCGGCACCTCAGCCATGCGGGGGTCTTGGCACTGCCCCTGCCTGACTACCTCACCCAAATTCATTCATCTGCCACCTCCACCCAGAGGGATTCGGTGGCAGTTCTCTCACAGGGAGGGTCTCGTTCCCGTGGACTGTCTGCAGGGAGCACACAGACAATAAGTGTCCCTGTTCTTTGATTTGGTTTCACGCCAAGAACTCCGTGCCGGTGGCTGGTGTGTTTGTGTGGGGCAAAGAGGGGGGAGGGAGAAAGGGGGCAGAAGGGAGAAAATGAAGAATTCTTTAGAATGCACCTGAAACTTTCATTTTACTTTGCAAATGGAAATATCTTGAAAGTAGAATTGTAGTGTAGGGACTAGAAGGAGCATCAAGATGGTCCAACCCCTCATTACAGATGAGGAAACTGAGGCTGGAGTGTGGGGACCAAGACCACGAGGGGTCAGCAGCGGAACAGCAGGAAGGAAATCAGGCTCCTGGACTCCCCCTAACCTCCGTGGTATCCAGGCTGCCAGAGATGAACCCAAGAATCACCTCCCTCAGGAAAGGCACCAGATCACTCAGGTTCTCAGAGAAAAATGGCCGAAGACATTGCCTATCCCTTTTGGAAGGTTCCAGGTAAATTATCTCCCTTCTGAAGCTAACAGCATCATGCTTTAAGTGTGGTTTGTGGTGGGCAATGTTATAAATATATTCTCAGGGAGTTCTGATTGGTATGTGTTGTTTGTGTGTACATGGTTTGTATACACGTGTGTATGTACATGTATATATCTTTCGTACATGTGTACGCATATGGGTGTGTGGGTGTGTCTGCATGTGTACCGTGCATGCACATGTCATGTCCACGTGTGGCTACATGTGTGTCTGTGTTTATGGGAACAAATGTGTGTAAACGTGTGCCTGTGTGGCTACACGTGTATATGTGCATGTGTACATGTGTGCACTGCATTTTCATGTGGTGTGCACTGTCTGCACGCATGTGTCTGAATATATGTGCATGCATTCACATATGTGTACATGTGTGCATGTTTCTACAGAGAGTAGATGGTGGAACCAGGGACTGGGGGAGGGGGAGATGTTACTGTTCGATGGGAACAGAGTATCCGTTTTGGAAGATGAGGAAGTTCCAGAGATGATGGGGGTGACAGCTGCACAACAATATGAATGTACTTAATGCCACTGGACTGTACACTTAAAAATGGTTAACATGTTAAATTTAAAACTATGCATATTTTACCATAATTTACAAATTGGAAAAGCAGCAATTCAAAATAAAACTAAAAGAATATGACACAGCAGGACACTTAGCGAGAAGTGAGGGGTGTGGACACATGCTCAGCTTTTCCTGGGCACCGCCAGCAGGGGCAGCAGGGAGCCGTGTGGGCTGGAGGCCCGTGCTCTCTGCTGTGTCAGTAACCAGTCACGCCCGGGCAGCAGGCTTTCACCCAGGGCACATGCATTTGCAGTTGTGAGGAGGAGCTTCAGTTCAGTTCAGTTGAGTTCAGTTCAGACCAGTGAGCACCCATTTGGTGCTTTGCCTTCAGACTCCAGCCCAGCAGTTCACACTCGGGACACACCACCCCTCCCACACGCAACATGAGAAACCCGCGGGCATTATGAGGTCACCAAGACCAGTGCCTCGGAGCAGAGGCCAGACACAGGCCTGGCTCCCTGGAGAAGGGCTGGGATCAAGGAAGGCTTTCTGGAGGAGGCGGGTCCAGGGCAGTACGTGGCTGTGCTGCTGTGGATGGTGGAGCGGCCCCTGCCCACAGGGTGGAGTGACACTGTGTGCCCTGGGCCAATGCAGACGGCCTGTCCACACCAGCCCGAGGAGGGCTGGTTTCTGCAGCACAGGCTGACTTAGTACCTGGGAGTAACTGGAAAGTGCGAGGTGGGCCAACTTAGCATGAGGACTTGGTGCAAAGGGGGACTGTTTCCTGTTTACACCCAACAAGATACATCTCCATATCAAAACGGTTACACGTTTACAATTATGTGATTCTTGCAACACTTTGCATCTGGGTTTGTTTTATTTGAGAATGAATTGTTCCACTTATTTATGATTCACTGGTTGATTCTTGTATGCGCCCTGACTGGGGATTGAACCTGCAACCTTGGCCCATCGGGACGATGCTCTAACCAACTGAGCTACCCAGCCAGGGTTTGCATCTAGGTTTCAAATGCTAATTACACTCTTGGAATTTAATACGAGAAACACTTTGGAATGTTGGTTGACATGCTGAGCAGGAATTTGGAGCTGCGTATTGACATGGAAAACCAGACCCTGCTAGCTCTAGAATAAGTGAAAGTAAAAATCAAAGAGGCACCAGAAAGGGAATAAGAGACTGTACCACCAGAGGTAATGTTTTCCTCTTCGTTCAGCCTGAACCCCAAGGGCAAGCTGACGGCACAGGATTAGGGATGCAGGGAGCAGGCATGAGCGGCATTCGTAAGTGTGTTTGAGATGGAACCTGGAGAAATCCAAGACTCGTGATGAGAAATGTCATGCCTGCCTCACGTACCTGTCTCACGGGAAATCGTCCTTCCCTGGAACCCCGCTCTGTCTACATGTGTCATTTGTGGGATGGCACTGAGTGAGGTAGGAACACCCAGCTGAAAGAGGACACCACACCCCAGAAAGGTCTATGCCACAGAGAGCCCGGGTCTCAGGCTCTGCTCTGTGGGGGACTCCTCTGCTTCTCACAGGTCAGCAGGACAAAGGTGCTCAGGGAAGTGCATGGTGCATTCCATGCCTCCCCAAAACACCTGCCAACAGAGGGCTTCTGCAGTGCACGGTCCGCAGGAAGGCAGGAGGCTGGGTCAGAGGACGACTCTGGGCTGCTGGCCTATTGCTGCTCAAGCCAGAGAGGCAGAGCCTCCTTCCAGCATCACTTAGCTGCCAGCTGTCCAGTCCCTCCTCCCAGCACAACCTGGGGACTGAGATGCAGGTCAGATGTCAGCCAAAGCCATGCTCAGGTGTGAGCTGTGCCACCTGGGTCTGTAAATCCCTCCAGGGGACAGTCAGAACCAGTTCCCAGGACGCATTTAAAAAGCCCCAGTCCTGGCCAGTGTGCCTCAGTGGTTGGAGCATCCTCCCATAAGCTAGAAGGTCACAGGTTCAATTCCCAATCAGGCAACATGCCTAGGTTGCAGTTGGGTCCCTGGTCGAGCACAAGGCAACCAGTCAATGTTTCTCACGCTGATGTTTCTCTCCTTCCCTCCCTCCCCTCCCTCCCTTTCTCTCATCAATAAAAACAAACAAACAGAAAGCCCAAACTGCACTTTTGGGCTCTGCTGTGGGCATCTCACTTTGATGGGCAGATGGGGCTGGCCAGGGCAGCGCTCACAGCCGGGGCAGAACCGGCATCATGGTGGGTGCCCAGGCCAGCAGGAGTTCCACCCCCACCCATGCCCCACGTGGCTGCCCCCATGGCTTCCCTGCAGAGGGGCTCACTCTCGGGCAGACAGGGCCCGCCAGTCCCTCCTCAGGAAAGGCTTCATCATGTGTGGACACCCTCATGTGGCAGTGTCTGTGACCTGAAGCTGTGCCTAGCAATGGTCAGAACTGAGGCAGGTGGAAGAGCTGCTACCCCGAGGCACTTGCTCCCCCCTGGCTGCCTGAGCAGCATCCACTGGGCCTCTCCCACTGACCCCCACAGTCGGCAGAGAGGCAGTGTTCTCCGAAAATGTCTGGACGGCCATTAGAACAGCTCCTTCACCTCCTCCTCTTAATAACCGAAGCCAGATTAGGTCTGCACAACACGGCCACTCATCCCAGGCAGCCTCTAAGCGTCTATTGGCTCCTGACCCCTGGAGACGAGGTCTGGCAGCTCGAGTGCTAGGAGCGCAGTGAGCATTCCAGGAGGGGCGGTGGGGAGGGCTGGCATTG